TAAATCGCCTCTTGCCTATCGCTCTAGAAGTCGCAAATGCGGAACTCGTTCAGTGTATTTAAAAGTGCTTTTGGCATACTTGCACGATATTAAGGAACTACATTACTTTAACTGCGTAAATTCAAAAAAGATAAACTCATGTATCTATCGCTAGTTTATTTTTATGAATAAATTAGAAAATAAAATGTAAAGTGGCTTGAATTTTCTATTTTATATGATGCTATTCAATGTCTACGATAATAAAAAAAAGATCACTTAGTAACTGGATGAATTATAAACACTTGTTTTAACAAAATAAGATTCTTATTATTTACACATTTAAACATTTTTTTTAGAATAATTCAAATAATTTTAAAAAATTATTTATATTTTGGCTTATACACGTGATTATGATAAATATTTCTATATTTTTTTTATAAAATTATAGCATTAAACAAGATTGTTTCACATGATTAGCAGAAAAAGAATTACTTGATATATATCAATACCGTTAAAGTCTCTATTTTATGTAAATGTATCTTGACAAATTTTAAAAACGGATATAATGGTGACATTTGAAAACGGTGTAAATTTCCACGACAAATATCCGACCGTTTACGTGCCAAGAAATTATAATTAATCTTCTTTAAACTTATTTAAATGCTCAGTCACACGTCACGTCTTCTTCGCGACTAGCAAATTAAAATGTGTCTCCCATATCGGATCGTAGCACCGTTAACATGTGTTGGCACAGCCAACTTAAATTTATTCTAAAACGCACTTCGGGTCAGTATGCCACGGTTTGTGTTGAATAACAGGTACAACAGATCAGGCAAGAGACAAGTAATTCCTAAGGATCACTCGCATGGTTTGTTTGACAGATAATTTTTTCTTAACCAAAAGTACTGTCAAACCATTAATTACTTTAAAAATATTCAAAATAAAGACATACGCAAGATATTCTCTGTTATGTGTTTTAAATTTCATAATTTAGAATTTTAAGAAGAGAATTTTAATTTAGAATTTTAACGTACCATCTTACTATCAACAATTAGCTTTGTTCAATTATTTTTTCAGATATTATTTAATACATGAAATTATTTAGAATTTATTGATTTTAACTTCCAAAATATTCTAAACATCCTATTAAAATAAAAATAACTTTAATATTTTACATATAACTTCTTTAAGTAATCTAAATTGTTTAAATTGTTTAAATTACTTTAACATAATATCATAATCGTCAAAAATAATGTGAATATAGAATAATCAGTTATTAGTAAGCATATTATTCAGTCTCATAATTAACAATCAACATTTTAGCCACTGTAACTACAACTAATCGTTAAATAAAATTTTTATAAAAGAATAAAGAAACTATTATTATTATTTATTATAATATAATCCTTGCCTCGTGACTTAGGATGGCTTCCGGCATAACTTAATACTTCTCTTTCTTATATAAATACCTTCATATAAATACCATAATGTTACAACTAAAACTCATAAACTAATATAAAATAAAACTAAAACGATAAAACTTTAATGTTTGAAGCTCGTCGAAATCCTAAATAGTTATTCAATCTATTAACCTAGCTTCCGTAAACAACATAATAAAATTAAACAAAAAACGCAACAATTTTGTCTTAAATGAGAATCTAAAGTAAAATAATACCAAACTAAGCTAAAAATAACTAAAGTAAAATACAAAATACAAAATAAATATCATAATTATTT